CATGCATAAATTTAACCAATTTAGCAGAGGTTGCCATATATTCTGGACGTTTTGCACCACCACAGTTGGCCAACTTGCAGAGCCCTGTTAAAACTAAACCATTCCAAGAGCAAATGATTTTAGTATCCAAATGAGGTCTGGGGCGCTGTTTCCTAATATCATTTAATATATCATTAGTTAGTTGTAAAATTTCCTTTAGTTGTTGTTCTTCCAAAGAGAATTCCTTGCATGTTTCTTCAATCGATCCTCTAACAATTAAAATATTCTTGGCATTCAAATGACCATGAGGATCACTTGATGGATCAACATTACCCAAAGGCTTAACATCATAATGATGACTATATATTTCGAAAATTTTTTCAGTGGACATATTAACTTTGCTATATTTGTCCTTATTATCTTCTATAGCTTTTTGTATTTCCTTATAAGTCCAGGCATAAAAGGCGCCTTCAACTTTCTTGGAATCCTCAGCCTTGGGCAAAGAATCGGCATCTTCTCCAGCATAAAAACCACCAGCAGGATGTTGTAGATCAGTGGTTATATAACGATAAATACCATCAGCATATTCTCGGAAAGTTTCATCTCTGGTTAATTTATAGGCATTAGCATAAGCAGCCAGCAATTGACCCTGATCATATAGCATTTTCTCAAAGTGAGGAACATGCCATTTGCGATCCACCGAATAGCGGGCAAAACCACCAAATACATGATCATGTATGCCACCACGGCCAATGTGATGTAAAGTCTCCACGGCCATATTTAAAATATCCACTTTTTTAGTAACAATATAAGCATGGAAGAGAAAGTTAAGTCTAGCTACTTCGGGGAATTTGGGATGATTGCCAAAGCCGCCAAACTCAACATCAAAACGTTGGGAAAATATTTTCAAAGCTTCCTGTAATTTGGCATCAGCACTGCCCGGTTCAAATACTGTTTCAGTAGATTTTTCACTAAGAGATTTTTGTATGGCGCTAATAACCTCTAGACCGGTGGATTTCAATTGCTCTTCATTGGCTATCCATTTAGAGGCTATGGCCCTTAGAACGGTTTTAAAGGAGGGCATGCCCCAGCTAAAATAACATAAATAAGATTAAATTCTTTTAAAGAAATGTTTGTTTAAAACTCACCGATCATGTGGTGGAAAATATGTACCCGCCGTTATGGGCGCCAAATCTGGAGTCAACCATACACTCATGGGCCAACCACCACTGCCATTCATCATTAATACAAACTGCATATAGATGCGATCTATATCGGGCCTTTCTTCACGATCTACCTTAATGTTCACGAAATGTTTATTCATTAAAGCAGCCACCTCTTCATTCTCAAACGATTCATGTTCCATGACATGACACCAATGACATGTGGAATAGCCCACCGATAGGAAAATCAATTTATTTTCATTTCTAGCCTTTTCAATGGCCTCATCTCCCCAGGGATACCAATCGACCGGATTGTGAGCATGTTGTAGCAAATAAGGTGATCTTTCCTGAGCCAAACGATTGGTAAATTTAGGTTTATCCACTTGAGAACTACCACTACCGGTAGCACCTGCAGCGCTGCCCGTAGACATGGTACGAAAACGTGAAAGACGTGGTAGTAACCTATTGAAAAACCAGTAAAGAAAAATAAAACGAAAAGAAAGTGTTTAAAAGACCAGCTAGCAAAACAATGTGACTTTTGTTGAAAAAGAGAATAAAAGATTTTAGTAATATGCATAAATTTGTTTAAATTAAGATAAATATAACTATTAAAAGAGTTAGGCATACACGACCTTATGATACCCTAATCCAAAAATGAATGAATTTATACTTTCGACTAAAGACTACAGACTGATACATTCAAGATCAGTTTATAATCTTGACATGTTGTACATGTTTATAGTCTATAGTCTAGGCTATTCATCAGTCTATAGACTAGGCTATATATCAGTCTATAGTTAAGGCTACTCACCAGTCTATAGACTAGGTTATATAAGTTTTCACTATAGATTATTATATAATTCAACTATAGATCAGTGCATTTTCTTGACTATAGATCAGTCTGTGGTCTTGACTATAGATCAGTCTATAGGCTTGACTATAGATCAGTCTATAGGCTTGACTATAGATCAGTCTATAGGCTTGACTATAGATCAGTCTATAGGCTTGACTATAGATCAGTCTATAGGCTTGACTATAGATCAGTCTATAGGCTTGACTATAGATCAGTCTATAGTATTGACTATAGATCAGTCTATAGTCTTGACTATAGATCAATTTATAACCTTGACTATAGATCATTTTATAGTCTTTACTACACATCTTTGTTCTTGCTATAGATGGGTCTATTTTTTTGACTATAGTTTACACATATTAGATTTTAGATTCGTCTACAGTCTTGACTATAGATTAGTCTATAGTATTTTTTGTAAAGTAGTTTTGACATTACTTGCACAGAACTAGGTATGAACGGACATCGTTCGTGCTACTTAGAAATCGATACTGAAAAGATTTATCTACTTTAATGAAAATTTCGAACTATTAATATTGTCTATTACAAAAGCAATACTATTACCACTTTAGTAGTGTAGGGTATACAAAAACAAGATGCAGATGTTCATTTTAGTTTTAGTTAGTTAGTTGTTGTAGTTATTGGTACTTACGTAAATTGGGTTTGTGACTTGCTGCGTCTTAGCGTTACAACGTTTGATGCGATAGCAGCTGCCGCCGCTGATGGTGAAGTTTTTTTTGTAGAAACACTAGCTGATGTACTAAGAAGACAACGTGCTGTTGAGCTCGTTGTACCTTGTTGTTGAGCGGTTATTAATAAAAGATTACTATTACTGTTGCTGTTTAAGTTCTGAGCACTAGTTGTATTGACTCCCTTAGTGGCCGTATTCTGTGTAGTTTGACGTACTAGATTAGTAGATCGACAAATATTTTTAAACATATCAAAGCTTATGGGGGGAGACCTCTTTGGGAGAAGAGCACTCGGGTTTTTCTCTCACTTGTTTCTGGGAAGGGGGGACAACACCACCAAGTTTGGGGTAATAAAAGCTTTAATGGAACAAACGTTTATTACGTTTTAATTTCAGCCATTTATTCCCTGCAGCAGCGAGTGTACCCTACCACCTGTATGTACATGTATGTTGTATGTCCACTACCCTTAGTTAATTACACAAATATTGTCTAAGGTTTGTTGTTCTTGTAATATTTATTATTATTTTTGTTGTGGTTTACTTGTTGTTTTTGCTATTCTTGTTTGCTTTTCTATTACATCAACATATAATCACGCACACTATTTTTTTCAATTGTCTTGTTATTTTTTTTTTCTTTTTTATTCTTTCGTTAACTAGAATCCAATTTGATTTTTTTTTTTTTTTTTGTTTTTATCTTATTGAGAAATTTGTTCTTCAATTACTTGGCAATTTTTTATAGCAATAGCTAGCAAATTAATTTTGTTTTTTTGCTTATTATTTTTTCATTTTTTTTTAATTACACGATTTATTCGATAACACTAGTAATTTGTGTGTTTCTTTTACTTTATTTTTATTTCTTTCTCGTTCAAATACCACACTCATTGACAATAAAAATGTTATTGCTGTTTATTTCTCGCTGGCCTTTTTTATTTTTCTGATTTTTCTTTTAATATTTTGTTCGTGACAGAGAGATCAGTGCCGACCAAAATAATCGACGTCGTCGCCATATACTAAAAACTAAAGCGGTAATTTGTAATCATTATTAGTAAGCCGGTAAAGTTTTCATTAGTTTATTTTAAGTTATCGACAAATTGTCTTTTTTATTGAAATTTTTCGATAAATTTTCCTTTTTGGTATAAAATAATTGATAAATTTTCATTATTACAGAAAATGTTCGATAAATTTTGTTTTTTTGATAAAATTTCCTAATATGCAAAAAATGTTCGATAAAATTTCCAATTTTATGGAAAGCTTTTTATAAAATTTCCCATTTTATAGAAAATCTTCGATAAATTTCCTATTTTATAGAAAATTTGCTAATTTACAAAAATTTTCGATAAAATTTCCTATTTTATAGAAAATTTTCGATAAAGTTTTCTTTTTACAGAATATTTTTGATAAAATTTCCCATTTTATAGAAAATATTCGATATATTTCCTATTTTTTTGATAAATTTCCTATTTTATAGAAAATTTTCGATAAATTGTTCAATTTTATAGAAAAAATTCCTATTTTATAGAAAATTTCCGATAAAGTTTTCTCTTTATAGAATATTTTTGATAAAATTTCCAATTTGATAGAAAACTTTTTATAAAATTTCCCATTTTATAGAAAATCTTCGATAAATTCCCTATTTTAAAGAAAATTTTCGATAAAATTTCCTAATTTACAAAAAATTTTCGATAAAATTTCCTATTTTATAGAAAATTTTCGATAAAGTTTTCTTTTTACAGAATATTTTTGATAAAAATTCCAATTTTATAGAAAATATTCGATATATTTCCAATTTTTTTGATAAATTTCCTAATTTATAGAAAATTTTCGATAAATTGTTAAATTTTATAGAACATTTTTTGACAAATTTTCGAATTTTATAGAAAATTTTCGATAAAATTTCCTATTTTATAGAAAATTATCGATAAAATTTTGTGTTTGTGGAAAATTTTTAAAAAAAATTTATAAAGCATTTTTAATGAAGTTTTATTTAAAAAAAAATTTTGTTAAATTTCATTCTGTAATAAAAACTTTCGTAATTTTTTTTGGTTAAATTTTCTTCGTTAAGAGAAAATTTTCATTAAAAAATTTTAGACATTCACTTTCTAAAGAAATTTTTTTTTTTTTTAATTTTAGTTAAATTTCTTTTTATATAAATATTTCGTTAATTTGCTAATTAATAGTATCTGTTTGTATATATGTATATATATTTATATATAATCACTAATTTAAAATCATATTTAAATACAACTGCCTTAGTCATACCTTTTTGTCACTGCCACAAAATACAACTGTGCCTAAGTATACAACCCTGCAATTAAGCTTTTTTCTTCCTTTACTATAGTTTCTTTAAAAATTTCTTTCAGTGCGGTTGCGGTTAGATTCGCTCGTTGTGAAAATTAATTAAAAAGTGTTTAATACGTGTAAATTCATCGTAAAATTAATAAATTATTAAATCTAAAAGTGTTCTTAACAAGTTTTTTACATTTCCTTATGAATTTATTCGGGAAAATCGAGTGAAAAGTGTTTTGCAATTTTTTTTTTTGGCAAACTGTTGCATTTGTTGTCAATGAACGCCATTAGTGCTGCAATATGAAGCCGTTGTTGTTGTAATGACTTTTTCGTTTGTTTTCTTTGTGGTTAAATTCTTAATAACGGTATTGTTTAGTGGCGAAATGTATTTGATAAGAAGTAGCGATGAAAATTAGGAACTTAAATGAATTGCAAGTAAACTTTAGTTTTGTATGGAGATAAAAAAGCTTTTAATAAAGTTGTTATTTGATTAAGGTGATTTATAGGTAAAGGCCGTTATTTTTGAATGTAATTATGAATGCAGTTTAGATAAGGTAAGTTTGAATATAGGATTGCATGATTTTAATTAAAGTTTGTTAATTAATTTAAACTATACATTGGACTAGTCTGTTGACTAGTGTATTTACTAGTCTTTTGACTAGATTATGGACAAGTTTATTGATTAGTATATGGACTAATCTATTGCCTAGTCTATTATCTAGTCTATTGACTAGTATATTGTGTAGTCCATAGTCAAGTCTGTTAATAAGACTATATTAATATCTGTTAATAAGAATATAGACAATGGACTTATCTATAGACTATACTGTCTAATATATATAGACGATAGACTAGACTATATACTAGACTATAGACTAGACTATAGACTAGACTCTAGACTAGACTATATACTATAGACTAGACTATAGACTAGACTATAGACTAGACTATAGACTAGACTATAGACTAGACTATATACTAGACTATAGACTAGACTATAGACTAGACTATAGACTAGACTATAGACTAGACTATAGACTAGACTATAGACTAGACTATAGACTAGACTATAGACTAGACTATAGACTAGACTATAGACTAGACTATAGACTAGACTATAGACTAGACTATAGACTAGACTATAGACTAGACTAGACTAGTAGACTAGACTATAGACTAGACTATAGACTAGACTATAGACTAGACTATAGACTAGACTATAGACTAGACATATAGACTAGACTATAGACAAACTATAGACTAGACTATAGACTAGACTATAGACTAGACTATAGACTAGACTATAGACTAGACTATAGACTAGACTATATACTAGACTATAGACTAGACTATGACTAGACTATAGACTACTAGACTATAGACTAGACTATAGACTAGACTATAGACTAGACTATAGACTAGACTATAGACTAGACTATAGACTAGACTATAGACTAGACTATAGACTAGACTATAGACTAGACTATAGACTAGACTATAGACATAGACTAGGACTATAGACTAGACTATAGACTAGACTATAGACTAGACTATAGACTGACTATAGACTAGACTATAGACTAGACTATAGACTAGACTATAGACTAGACTATAGACTAGACTAAGATAGACTATAGACTATAGACTAGACTATAGACTAGACTATAGACTAGACTATAGACTAGACTATAGACTAGACGATAGACTAGACTATAGACTAGACTATAGACTAGACTATAGACTAGACTATAGACTAGACTATAGACAGACTATAGACTAGACTATAGACTAGACTATAGACTAGACTATAGACGACTATAGACTAGACTATAGACTAGACTATAGACTAGACTATAGACTAGACTATAGACTAGACTATAGACTAGACTATGACTAGACTATAGACTAGACTATAGACTAGACTAGACTATAGACTAGACTATAGACTAGACTATAGACTAGACTATAGACTAGACTATAGACTAGACTATAGACTAGACTATAGACTAGACTATAGACTAGACTATAGACTAGACTATAGACTAGACTATAGACTAGACTATAGACTAGACTATAGACTAGACTATAGACTAGACTATAGACTAGACTATAGACTAGACTATAGACTAGACTATAGACTAGACTATAGACTAGACTATAGACTAGACTATAGACTAGACTATAGACTAGACTATAGACTAGACTATAGACTAGACTATAGACTAGACTATAGACTAGACTATAGACTAGACTATAGACTAGACTATAGACTAGACTATAGACTAGACTATAGACTAGACTATAGACTAGACTATAGACTAGACTATAGACTAGACTATAGACTAGACTATAGACTAGACTATAGACTAGACTATAGACTAGACTATAGACTAGACTATAGACTAGACTATAGACTAGACTATAGACTAGACTATAGACTAGACTATAGACTAGACTATAGACTAGACTATAGACTAGACTATAGACTAGACTATAGACTAGACTATAGACTAGACTATAGACGACTATAGACTAGACTAGACTATAGACTAGACTATAGACTAGACTAGACTATAGACTAGACTATAGACTAGACTAGACTATAGACTAGACTAGACTAGACTATAGACTAGACTATAGACTAGACTATAGACTAGACTATAGACTAGACTATAGACTAGACTATAGACTAGACTATAGACTAGACTATAGACTAGACTATAGACTAGACTATAGACTAGACTATAGACTAGACTATAGACTAGACTATAGACTAGACTAGACTATAGACTAGACTATAGACTAGACTATAGACTAGACTATAGACTAGACTATAGACTAGACTATAGACTAGACTATAGACTAGACTATAGACTAGACTATAGACTAGACTATAGACTAGACTATAGACTAGACTATAGACTAGACTATAGACTAGACTATAGACTACTATAGACTAGACTATAGACTAGACTATAGACTAGACTATAGAATAGACTATAGACTATAGACTAGACTATAGACTAGACTATATAATAGACTATAGACTATAGACTAGACTATAGACTAGACTATAGACTAGACTATAGACTAGACTATAGACTAGACTATAGACTAGACTATAGACTAGACTATAGACTAGATTATAGACTAGACTATAGACTAGACTATAGACTAGACTATAGACTAGACTATGGACTAGACTATAGACTAGACTATAGACTAGACTATAGACTAGACTATAGACTAGACTATAGACTAGACTATAGACTAGACTATAGACTAGACTATAGACTAGACTGTAGACTAGACTATAGACTAGACTATAGACTAGACTATAGACTAGACTATAGACTAGACTATAGACTAGACTATAGACTAGACTATAGACTAGACTATAGACTAGACTATAGACTAGACTATAGACTAGACTATATACTATAGAACTAGACTACTATAGAATATATTATGACTAGACTAAAGACTAGACTATAGACTAGAATATAGACTAGACTATAGACTAGACTATAGACTAGACTATAGACTAGACTAATAGACCAGACTATAGACTAGACTATAGACCAGACTATAGACTAGACTATAGACTAGACTATAGACCAGACTATAGACCAGACTATAGACTAGACTATACTAAAGACTAGACTATAGACTAGTCTATAGTGTAGTCTATGGACTAGTTTATTGACTAATCAATGAAATAGACTATAGTCTAGTATATGGACTACTCTATGGACTAGTCTATTGTCTGGTGTATTGTCTAGTCTATTGACTAGTCGATTCTCTAGTCTTATGACTAGTCTTGGACTAGAATATTTACTAGTTTGTGAATTACTCTATTGACTAGTTTATGAACTAGACGATTGGTTAGTCTATAGATAAGTATATTGCCTAGTCTATGGACTATTATATTTGCTAGTCTATTGACTGTTCTTTTGTCAAGTCTATGGACTAGTTTATTGTCTAGTCTCTTAACATTTTGCAACTTGCTTCAACTTAAAAAAATAAAAAACACATCTCCATATTAATTTGTTAACTTTTTTATTTTATTTTTATAAAATCTAATTTAATAAGTAAATACATATTATATATATTTTGAATTTTTATTTTTCTTGTAATTATATTGATTAAATTAATATATGCACAAACATTGAAGTTTGTTATGAAAAAGAAATTTTGCATAAAACTACAATTAAATACACATACAAATAAAAATACTAATAACTATTTTATAATAAAACAGTAAATTATAAAGAACATAACCTAAAAAAACGAAAATTAACTGACTTATTAATAAAATTGTTTTTTTTTTTTTTTTTTGTTTAAATTATAACATACTCGTACTATATAACACATGCAAAGAAATATTTCAATAAATATTTCTTAAAAAAAATACTTAAAATTAAATTTAAAATCAAAATAGAAAAAACAATAGTACAGAGAAACAGCAGGAAAAGTTAGACTCAATTTAATAAAAAAATAATTAAGGAAAAATTTTAAATAAATTTTAAATAAAACGAAAGAATGTATGAAATAAAATCATATTTTAAATCACAAAGCATTGCAAAAGTTAGAAATAGAAAGCACACTTAAGTAATTTGTTTCTTTAAATTAAGTTTTAAGAAAAAAAGAAAACTTAGTTTGGTTTTCAAATAGGACTCTAAATAGGAAATTTTGTTTTTAAGACACAAGTGCTTGGTTTAGTTCTTTTTTTTTAGGAATATAAACTAAAGAAAAAGCACCAATATTTTACAAAGTAGAATTAATAAGTAAGTGAAAAAATTAACAAAAAAAAAATCTGTGCGTTTTTTTTTCTCTAAGTTTATTAACCTGCCTCTTCTCTCTATATAAATCTCTCTTGATACTCTCAATTTTTAACATGAAAGTAAGGAAATTATTTTAGAGATATTTTGTTAAAAAGGTCAAAAACTAACTCTTTATATTTATATTAAACTTAATTATTTTCGTATGTTGTATCACACTTGTTTATCTTTAATTTTCTTCTTCTTACTTTTGTTTACAACTTTATTTATCTCTATTTCATTTTCGCTCTCGCTTAAGAGCAGCAAAATTAACAATCACTTTGTATTAAGGTATCACTGAGAGCACTTATGATTTCTTCTCCCATTTTGATTTTATCGGCAATATCACGTGCATCGGTTATTAGTTTAGCTTTCATATTGATGAAATATTCAAAATCAGCAAATTCATCTGAATTTAGATTCTTTTCCAGTAAACTGACCACACTAATGCCACGACGATCGATATCTTCCTTTAAGCGTTTCGCTTCAGTTAATTGTTCCACTAAACGATCACGTTTATTTTCAAGAGATTTCTGTAAAAGAGAATAAAAAAAAAAGGAATTAATGTTTGTTTTGTAGAATGTTTAAGAGAGAGTAGTTCTAATGATAAGTTTCGGGAAAGAGAAGGTTTAACTGTCGAATCTGCTCCATTTTACATTTAGAATTTGAAATGATTCAAAGATTTAGTAGAAATATTACACGATTCTTAAGAGAGAACAAGAGTCGGGAAGTAA